TTGGCATGGTTTGAATACGGTGGGGGGGCAAAATATTGTTTTATCCTCCACGTCTGGGGATACAACACAGAAACAAAGGGAATGGAATAGTGAGAGAAATAATGGATGGTATGCCCTTGTTGAATTTGAAAAATAAAATACCAATTATCCTTTTTTTAGGAGATAAACACGACAAACAGCTCAAACACATCACTGTTACAACATCGCTGTCACAACATCGCTGTCACAACTTCAATGTCACAACATCAATGTCACAACATCACTGTCACAACATCACTGTCACAACATCCCTGTTACAACATCCCTGTCACAACATCGCTGTTACAACATCACTGTTACAACATCACTGTCACAACATCACCGTCACAACATCACTGTTACAACATCACTGTCACAACATCACCGTCACAACATCACTGTCACAACATCCCTGTTACAACATCCCTGTCATAACATCGCTGTTACAACATCACCGTCACAACATCACTGTCACAACATCACTGTTACAACATCACCGTCACAACATCACTGTCACAACATCCCTGTCACAACATCCCTGTTACAACATCCCTGTCACAACATCGCTGTTACAACATCACCGTCACAACATCGCTGTTACAACACCTTTCCAGACGTGTTGTACTGATTATTTGAATTAGGGTCAGAGTTAGTATGCAAGATAAATGTATGCAAAATAACTTCCAATAAATACAATCTGAGGAAATGCACTGATCTGCTGAATCTGAGTCCTTTTTCTGTCTTGTTCTTTAGTTGTCTACAGAAACAACATGTCATTATGTTGCATCTCCATCTTCAGGTTCCAGATTCATCTTAACATATGTTAGAAATACGTATGGCTTGAATATTGTACTACAATGTATTTAAACACATTCTCACCAAGTCTGCACTTCAGTAAACATAGTCTACTAAGCTGGTTGGATAATTTTACATTGACAACAAAGTGAACGATATATTGCTACTGCAATGCCATTGAATAAACAGGATATTCATAATACATTGATTAAACTGTCAAATGTTTTTATTTATTTGCAGTGCCTCCAGAAGGTATTCACACCCCTCGACTTTTCCACATTTTTTTGTGTTACAGCCTGAATTTAAAATGGTTTAAATTGAGATTTTGTGTCACTGGCCTGCATACATTACCCCACAATGTCGAAATTGAATAGTTTTTAGAATTTTTTACAAATGTATTAAAAATGTCTTGAGTCAATAAGTATTCAACCCCTTTGTTGTGGCAAGCCTAAATAAGTCCAGGAGCAAAAATGTGCTTAACAAGTCACATAATATGTTGCATGGACTTTGTGTGCAATTATAGTGTTTAACATGATTTTTTAATGACTACCTCATCTATGTACCCCACACATACAATTGTATGTAAGGTCCCTCAGTTAAGCAGTGAATTTTAAACACAGATTCAACCACAAAGACAAGGGAGGTTTTCCAATGCCTCGCGAAGAAAGGCACCTATTGGTAGATGGATTAAAAATAAAAATAAACAGACATTGATTATCCCTTTGAGCATGGTGAAGTTATTAATTACACTTTGGATGGTGTATCAATACACCCAGCCACTACAAAGATAAAGGCGTCCTTCCTAACTCAGTTGCCAGAGAGAAGGAAACCATGCAGGGATTTCACAGTGAGGCCAATGGTGACTTTAAAACAGTTACAGAGTTTAATGGCTGTGATAGGAGAAAACTGAGGATGGATCAACAACATTGTAGTTACTCCACAATACTAACCTAATTGACAGAGTAAAAAGAAGGAAGCCTGTACAGAATACAAATATTCCAAAACATGTATCCTGTTTGCAATAAGGCACTAAAGTAAAACTGCAAAAAATGTGGTAAAGAAATTAACTTTATGTCCTGAATACGTTATATTTGGGGCAAATCCAACACAACACTGAGTAACACTCTTCATATTTTCAAGCATGGTGGTGGCTGCATCATGTTATGGGTATGCTTGTCATCTTGTTTTTTAAGATAAAAAGAAACGGAATAGAGCTAAGGCTTAATCCTAGAAGAAAACCTGGTTCAGTCTGCTTTCCAACAGACACTGGGAGACAAATTCACGTTTCAACTGGCCAAACACATTACCAAGACGACATTGAATGTTCCTGAGTGGCCTAGTTAGAGTTTTGACTTAAATTGGCTTGAGAATCTATGGCAAGACTTGAAAATGGCTGTCTAGCAATGATCAACAACCAACTTGACAGAGCTTAAATAATTTTTTTAAAGAATAATGTGCAAATATTGTACAATCCAGGTGTGCAAAGCTCTTAGAGACTTACCCAGAATGACTCACAGCTGTAATCGCTGTCAAAGGTGATTCTAACATGTGTTGACTCAGGTGTGTGAATACTTATGTAAATTAGATATTTCTATAAATGTGCAAACATTTCTACAAACATATTTTCACTTTGTCATTATGGGGTACTGTGTGTAGATGGGTGAGAAGAAAAAAAATATTTAATGCATTTTGAATTCAGGCTGTAACATAAGAAAATGTGAAATAAGTCAAGGGGTATGAATACTTTCTGAAGGCACTGTATAATATTATAATAAATTACAATGATAAATTAATTATAATAAAAATATCCCCATCAAAATCTGTCAATTTAAGCTAGAGATATCTGTTTTTTGCATGGGCTGATTCTCAATCCACCGCATCCGCCGATGGCGGCCGTCCGTATCTGCGGTGGAAGGTGGCCGAGCTACAGCGGTGTTTGTCAGACCATGAGATCGGTCTTCACACTACAACGTCTGTAGTGTCCTAACGGTTTGCCCTACAAACTAGTATGACCACTAGTATGACCACTAGTATGACCACTAGTATGACCACTAGTATGACCACTCTATGGACTCCTCAAAAAAATGAATGGAAGTATGGAGGTCGTTTTGTGCCTACCCCCAAAAAAGGGGTTAAATACACTGCTCGAAAAAATAAAGGGAACACTTAAACAACACATCCTAGATCTGAATGAATGAAATAATCTTATTAAATATTTTTTTCTTTACATAGTTGAATGTGCTGACAACAAAATCACACAAAAATTATCAATGGAAATCAAATGTATCAACCCATGGAGGTCTGGATTTGGAGTCACCCTCAAAATTAAAGTGGAAAACCACACTACAGGCTGATCCAACTTTGATGTAATGTCCTTAAAACAAGTCAAAATTAGGCTCAGTAGTGTGTGTGGCCTCCACGTGCCTGTATGACCTCCCTACAACGCCTGGGCATGCTCCTGATGAGGTGGCGGATGGTCTCCTGAGGGATCTCCTCCCAGACCTGGACTACAGCATCCGCCAACTCCTGGACAGTCTGTGGTGCAACGTGGCGTTGGTGGATGGAGCGAGACATGATGTTCCAGATGTGCTCAATTGGATTCAGGTCTGGGGAACGGGCGGGCCAGTCCATAGCATCAATGCCTTCCTCTTGCAGGAACTGCTGACACACTCCAGCCACATGAGGTCTAGCATTGTCTTGCATTAGGAGGAACCCAGGGCCAACCGCACCAGCATATGGTCTCACAAGGGGTCTGAGGATCTCATCTCGGTACCTAATGGCAGTCAGGCTACCTCTGGCGAGCACATGGAGGGCTGTGCGGCCCCCCAAAGAAATGCCACCCCACACCATGACTGACCCACCGCCAAACCGGTCATGCTGGAGGATGTTGCAGGCAGCAGAACGTTCTCCACGGCGTCTCCAGACTCTGTCACGTCTGTCACATGTGCTCAGTGTGAACCTGCTTTCATCTGTGAAGAGCACAGGGCGCCAGTGGCGAATTTGCCAATCTTGGTGTTCTCTGGCAAATGCCAAACGTCCTGCACGGTGTTGGGCTGTAAGCACAACCCCCACCTGTGGACGTCGGGCCTTCATACCACCCTCATGGAGTCTGTTTCTGACCGTTTGAGCAGACACATGCACATTTGTGGCCTGCTGGAGGTCATTTTGCAGGGCTCTGGCAGTGCTCCTCCTGCTCCTACTTGCACAAAGGCGGAGGTAGCGGTCCTGCTGCTGGGTTGTTGCCCTCCTACGGCCTCCTCCACGTCTCCTGATGTACTGTCCTGTCTCCTGGTAGCGCCTCCATGCTCTGGACACTACGCTGACAGACACAGCAAACCTTCTTGCCACAGCTCGCATTGATGTGCCATCCTGGATGAGCTGCACTACCTGAGCCACTTGTGTGAGTTGTAGACTCCGTCTCATGCTACCACTAGAGTGAAAGCACCGCCAGCATTCAAAAGTGACCAAAACATCAGCCAGGAAGCATAGGAACTGAGAAGTGGTCTGTGGTCACCACCTGCAGAACCAGTCCTTTATTGGGGGTGTCTTGCTAATTGCCTATAATTTCCACCTGTTGTCTATTCCATTTGCACAACAGCATGTGAAATGTATTGTCAATAAGTGTTGCTTCCTAAGTGGACAGTTTGATTTCACAGAAGTGTGATTGACTTGGAGTTACATTGTGTTGTTTAAGTGTTCCCTTTATTTTTTTGAGCATGTGTTTATCCTTTTTGCTATTTATGAATGTGTTATTCAATGCGTTTCTATGGGATTTGGTACTAAAGGCCAAATTCAATATTTTATCATATTTTTAAATAATAATAATAATAATATTTATTTTTATACCTAAAGGGGTTCTAAAATTCCAAATCAAATGATGAATGATCAATGGTATGACCCCCAACGTCTTAGACTAGAGAAATAATTGCTTGATGACCTTTACTCTCTTTGGTTGCTTGCTGTTGATCACTTTCCACCTCAAGGTGGCAGTGCACAACTAAATGTTGGTATTGTTTTTTCCGCCAACGACGAAGAAGGAAGCGTTTTCCCTTTCCTGTTTATAGTATTTCCTGTTCCGGTTTTCTAAACGCGTAAAGTGGTTTGAAAACATATATATAGCGTTTGCTTTCAAGAGAGCAAAGGTCGTTTTTTTCTCTTAGCTAATAGCTTAGGTTTAGATTTTGGTAATGCATAGACCGGATTTCAGACAACCCAGTCCGGGCGGAATGGGGTCCCGAGGAGGTGGTTTCAGAAGCCCGACAGGATTCGACAACAGCGGGGTGGGAATGCTTCCTTCGCCGCCGTGGGGATTCCGTGGTGGTCCCCCTCCGTCTTATGGACCACCTAGATTTGGGCAGTTTGATAATGCCTCTCCAAATACTCCTCCGAGAGACTTTGGTGGTAACGGTAACGGTAATAGGGGTTATCACGGTGGAAGTGGGGGTAAAGGGAGATTTAACAACAACGGCTCATCTCCGGCGTATACACCGCGTCGACAGAATCCGAGTCCTCGTGGCGCTTCTTACAGAAATTCTCCATATCATTCACAAAGTCCTGGACAACATATGGGTTATCAGGTAACTATTGAATGTTTTTGCTGCTTAGACTTGGTGACTAAGTAACCCTTTGTTATAAATTGTCATATTTTCTTAGCGCATCGGGTCTGTGTACTCGCAGCTCCTGCTTTGTGTCGCCTATTTCCCCACAATTGACACTTGCACGGTGTAATTAACGTTACACATTTGATATAACAAATATATGTCTGTCCAACGATAACATAACATAAATGATTAGTGAGTAGAAGACTGAAACGCCACTATTTAACATCAGTATGATTTTGAATAACTAGTGTGTTTTGTCATTTTTAGTTTCGATAACACGACGCTCGTCTTTCTCTTTTTCACACGTTTCTGTAATTGACCTCGACGCCCCACCATGTATTTATTTCTGATAATTCGTTTAGTTTCGATGTCTCATAACATGGTGGTTCTTTCCTGAAGGGTTCCCCTCGGCATTCCACTCCGTTTGGGTCGCGTGGTGGCAGGGGCGGCCAGGGGGCACAAGGTGGTGTGGAGAAGTTTTACAACCCGTCTATGCTGCAGGACCCATGGGCTAGCCTACAGCCAGTGCCGGTCACAGACACAAGCAGCTCCCAACAGCAAGCCACACATACAGGCAGGCCAGGGAGGTATTTCAACTAGGACCCCCCCCCCTCAAAAACCATGCGGATGAGGCCTCAATCCTTTCCTTTCATATTTACCCTATTCTTTCTTCGTTTCGGACTATTACCAAAACCATTTGACGTATGGTAAAGTTGCCTATAACACAGACAATATAGTACAGCAGTCTTTGAAGATGTCAGAGGATTCACCAGCAACTGTTAGTGGACACGGACCGTCTGCTATCTGAAGGTCTTTTCCAGCACACCTTGACTCACACCGTTACTTTTTTAAACCCTGATCGTGAGACTTCTCAATTTTCAGGGCAATGGCAGCAAACTAAAGCCAAACAGGGAATGCATTGTACTCAAATTCTTTTAGTGGATTTATTTTTATCCATCTGCAAGGTAGTTTAATACGGACATGGTCTGTCTTTTTATGATATGTTAATATATGATATGTTTCCCGTTTTTTAAACATTGTGTCAGTATAAAGTGTCGAAAGAAAGGGGGGCTTTTTTTATTTGATTTAGTTTTACCCCTCAGAACTACAGCGGTGAATCTCTGGGTCCGTATTCACAAAGCATATCAGAGTAGGAGTGCTGACCTAGAATCAGTTTTGCCTTTTCAATCATTTAGTGAATAAGATGATGTGGACAGATCCTAGATCAGAACTGCTACTCTGATGCTTTGTGGATACGGGCCCTGATCTCCACAGGTTAGCGTTGCGTTTTAAGAACTGATGGATTAGTTGGTCTAGCCTGTTGTAGACTGTATAAACCTCATTCTTGTTCTAGGCTTATTTCTAATGAAATTACACGTTAAATGTATTTTTATTGGTATTTCAAAATGGGCAATATAAACCAGTGACTTGTCACTGCCTCAGGTTTCTACATCTGTAAATATGTATTCTAAAGGAGATGTTTTCTTATTGGCAAGAAATAGAATTTGGAAGTTTGATGTAAGTGTTTTTTGTAGTAAATTCAAAAATGGTACAGACGTTTGTGATTTTAGTTTCACTTAAGACAATTGCCAGCAGCATACCACCCTGCATACGACTGCTGGCGTGCCTCTGAAACTAAGCAGGGTCGGTCACTGGATGGGAGAGCAGGTGGTGTTGCATGGCCAGTAGGGGGAAGTCTTCCCTCTGGTCTAAGGCGATCTTACAGCCCCAGGGCAGTGAAGGGGACATTGCCCTGTGTAGGGTGCAGTCTTTCGAATGGGACGTTAAATGGGTGGCCTGAATCTGGTCATTTAAAAATGGCACTTTATCTTAAGAGTAGGGGTGTTAACCCTGGTGTCCTGGCAAAATTCCCAACCTAGCCCCATTTCCATCATGCCCACCTAATCATCCCCCTCATTCTTAATTGGCATATGTCACTCCTCACCTCTCCACCTGATGTGTGGTGAGCGTTCTGGCACAAAAATGGTCGCCATGCATCGCTGAGATGGGTGCTACACATTGGTGGTGGAGTCAGTGATTTATTTCCCTCCTACTATGTAAAGTGCTTTGAGTACCTCAGTTGGTAGAAAAGCGCTATATAAATCGAATCAATTATTATTTATGATTGGCCAAGGAGTTAGGCCTACTTGATTATGTAAATGCACGAGTGGCTTCCTTTATATAATCTGTTAACTTTAAATCTCAAGATATGATTTTACAAATTGACATGGTGCTTGTCCCTTATGCAACAGGCAAGCATGTTGTACTATGTGTTCACATTATCACTCACATGTGAACATTTTTAGTTTACTCTGGTTTGAAATTTGTATTAAACATTGCTTTAACTTTTTATAGCTGTTCATCTAAGGTTGTCCAAGAACAAGCCGAAACATTCACATTAAGATATTTATTTAATTCAGTCAATTTACACAATTCCATATGTTACGAGTTGAAAGGACCTCTGCTACCAGCGGGCAGCACAGACTGAATGATAGCGTCATTGCTCCTAGGTACCAAGCCTCACACAAACCCAACAATAGCATGGGATCCCATGGGGCGTGTTCATTAGGGGCACAGAATGGAAAATGTTTTTCAAACGGGGAAACAAGTCTCTTATTTGACAAGTTCACGCAGTTCCTAACAGTTTTCATTCCATTTGGTGCCTGATGAACAAGACCCAGGTTACAATAATTGTCTTGGTAAAACAAAAAATGTACTATGCTAAAGCTTCTGTTACACTGGAGAGGAGATACTAAAACATAGGTAGGGAATGGTTTTAAAATATTATTTGCAGTGTGCGAATATGTTCACTTCATCTTCATTTTGTAATTTGTGGCAGCTCGTCCTCCTTGTTCTTGAATTTTCAAACAAGATGTTGGAGCCTTCGAGCATAGTGGGCCATTTTGATTTTAAGGGGACATTGGCGCAAATTGTTTCCCATTCAGTTTGGCTCCTCCTTTCAGAACCTTTCATTAAGTTCATAGGTACATTCCGTCCGAAGGGCTAGAGTCTATATGTCCAGGACTGACACGGCAACAGTTTACATGACTGGGGATATGAGCACTACATGTGCTATGTTCATGTCGTCATTTTCTGAAATGCATTTCCCATGTTAACTGTCTTCAATATCAAAAGTATTATTATTATAAAAGTAGCCTATTTGAAATTAAAGGGACTATGTAAACGTACATAAGTGTATATATTGTAAATCAGTACATGGATTAATCAGTCGTGTTTATTGGTCTGTATTACCTTGCCTTCGCTCTCAATGGCACGATAGACATTTGTCTAATGGCAAGGTTTTCGGTCATGAGAAAATCCCAATGCCTTAAGGCGCTTGCATACTAGGTTCAGGTTTCTCCTAGCAGAATTCGGCTAGGCGACGTGAACGTATGTGCCTTGTATACTCCATCAAAAAGACCTTTGCTTGAGAGAAAGAAAAAAACAGAAACAGTTATCTTTGTCCCTCTTGAGACGCCGTAGCCAATATTCCTAATCTAAGATATCTGTATTTCATTTACACGTTTTTGCCAAGGTCTGTCGCGCAATTTCACATCTGAAATGTTTTGTGCAGTATTTCCCAAGTGAAAACAATTAGAATGAAAACGAGTCGTCTCTCAAATGACAAACACTTCATTGAAGAATCCCTACTATTGACCAATAACCGACGAAGGGGCGCAGACTCCGGCTACCGAACTTCGGCTTGCCTCAGGGGGGGGGGGGGGAAAAAAAAGTTGTGCACAAACGTCAGGGAAAAAAACCCTTGCAGATGGAAAAACGTCAATGTTATTTCTCAGACTCTACTGAGGACCTCTGTAACATAAGGTATAAGTAATGGGACAGGTGTAACATTTGTGAAGGGGATATAGGTGTTCCTTTGGATAGGAACCTAAATGACATTTTCCAATTGCATGTTCTACACAGATGTGTTACACAATGCTCTGATTTTAAAGGTGTGCGATGATCATCATAAATCAAATTGGGCGTATCTTTAAGGGGCCCCGGGGTTGAGCTGTAAATCCATAATCCACATGGGTTGGGTACAAACCACAATCCAAAGTAATGATTCCCAAATCATTTTGGATGGAGGGCCTGGCCGCACATTTCTCCTACATTTTTATAGCAGGATCTTAAACAAGTGGAATGTGGACTCAGCAGTTACAGAATGTACTGGTTTCTTGTTAAGTGAAAATGGCGACTTTACTAAAGTAGCCATCCGTAATCATTTTACAGTAAACAGATTGTGCTACAGGGCTAATTTGATGACTTTGGTCATTTATCAGGGGAGTCATTGGAAATTCCTCCTTTCTGTTGTCGGTCTTGATACTGAGGCCAGGCTGAAAGAGAACATTTAGATACTCTACCAATTTCTAAAAACAACCTCTGGTTTAGATTACCAAACTTTTTTTCTTTTAATAAACAATGCCTTACTCCTCTGTATATTATGTAACTATGGTCTCCAAAAGACTACCCTCTTAAATTAAGGCAGATATATTGGGCCGGTTTCCCAGACAGAGATCAAGTCTAGTGCTGGACTATATAACGCATGCTCAGTGAAACTTAGAAAAAACTGTTTAGTGACTAAGGCTTCATGTGTCCAGGAAAGCAGCGTATCGCGTAATCTTTAGTATAAGCCCCTCATCAACTGGCCTGTTTAGTAAATTATAAGCCCCTCAACAACTGGTCTGTTTGTTTAGTAAATTATAAGCCCCTCAACAACTGGCCTGTTTAGTAAATTATAAGCCCCTCAACAACTGGTCTGTTTAGTAAATTATAAGCCCCTCATCAACTGGTCTGTTTAGTAAATTATAAGCCCCTCAACAACTGGTCTGTTTAGTAAATTATAAGCCCCTCAACAACTGGTCTGTTTAGTCAATTATAAGCCCCTCATCAACTGGTCTGTTTAGTCAATTATAAGCCCCTCATCAACTCATCTGTTTAGTAAATTATAAACCCCTCATCAACTCATCTGTTTAGTAAATTATAAGCCCCTCAACAACTGGTCTGTTTAGTAAATTATAAGCCCCTCATCAACTGGTCTGTAAATGCACTGTGTGACTATGGGATTGCCTACGTATTTCCCACCTTCATATCCTAACCTCTTTGTATGACTCCTCCCCTGTCTTCTGAACAAGTACCCGTGGTTTGTTAGATACAACACCATTGACCTGTATGACATGATACCATGTCACATTGCACAGCAGACTATCCAGATGGCAGAGACATTCCAGTGCAAGAGAGTTTAAGTTCGACTGTGGGATCCCATTCAATTCCTTCAATTAAACCCCTTCGTTCAAGTCTCTTCTGTGTGAAGTCGAACTTCCTGGAGTGACATTTTGAATGTAGCAGCATTTGAAATCGGCCATGACACATAATAAATAATATGCAGACGCTTTTATCCAAAGCGTCTTAGTCATTTGTGCATACATTTTTACATGTGGGTGGTCCCAGGAATCAATAATAATATAATAATATGCCATTTAGCAGACGCTTTTATCCAAAGCGACTTACAGTCATGCGTGCATACATTTTTTTGTGTGTATGGGTGGTCCCGGGGATTGAACCCACTACCTTGGCGCTACAAGCGCCGTGCTCTACCAGCTGAGCTACAGAGGACCACATCAATCAGACTACCCCGGCGTTACAGGTTCCCTGATCTACCAGCTGAGCTACAGAGGACCACATCAATCAGACTACCCCGGCGTTACAGGTTCCCTGATCTACCAGCTGAACTACAGTGATTTATTATCACGCTGATACAGCACTGAAAACAAATCGCGTGAGCGTTCCGATAGCATCTATTTTTTGTGACTGCTACACCAGTGGCATAACAGGGACGGACGTCAGAAGAGCCAGCCACTAAGTTTTCCTAAATTGACTGTCTCTCAAGAACGATAATTAAGGGGGGGGGGGGGGGTCATTGCTGTTCTTAGGATAAAATATTACAATTGAAAGTAAATGTAAAGTGTCAATGTCTTGTGGCCTCAAATTCCTTAGTTGGTTTCAGTTGTAGTCTTTCCATTTTAGTGTTTACTATAATTGGACAACAAACTCCCCTTTTTAGTGAACTCGCCTCTTCAAAAAAAACTAAAATGACAGGATTTAGTCTCCCTTGGCCATGGCTTCTGAGATGGAAACCTGGGTAATGTTCATTACAGAACGCAACAGATAATATTTAGTAACTTCTTGCAACAAAGCTAAAATTTAAGCAATTTGTTATTGGCCAAGTCCAGGTAGTCCCTCCCTGTTTCAGTCCATTTTCTTCCATTCGGTACCAAATGAACACAACACAGAGGACTCGGCAGGGTGGAGGAGGAGGAGGAGGACTCGGCAGGGTGGAGGAGGAGGAGGCCGGGTGGAGGAGGAGGAAGAGGAGGACTCGGCCGGGAAGCCACTATAAAACACAGCATCGCTCTCTGATCCGCTTAGCCAGGCTCTTCCTCTTCTTCTTTCCGTTCTTCTCCTTGCCGTCCTCCATTTTTCTGGCTCTGATCTCACGCATCAGGTCAAAAAAGACCTGTAAGGAAGAGAGCATTTGATTGGTCATTGATTTTTCCACTGGGGGGGGGGGGGGGGGGGTCGCCAAATAATTTCACTGAGCATAGCTTCATGAGCAGATACAGAAACAGGCCTAGTTATGATACTGTAAACCTACTCCTACTATGTTTCTGTACACAAGTTTAGCATTTCTTTGGCAGTTTGCCTCCCCTCTATACCCATTGTATGACCTCACCCGGCACGAACAACCACATATCACAAACAATTGTTATGGCCAAAAATGACACACTGGTTTCCTACCCTGTAAGCAGTCTAAGGACAAGGTATGACAGCAATCCATTTTTTTTTTCTGGCACTGTTTCCAAATGCTAACTTTAGGAAACTAAACCAAAGCATGGATTGCTTTTATACTTGGTCCATAGACGGCTTACAGGGTAAAGAAACCAATGTGTCATTTTGTAATTTAGGTAAACTATCCCCTTTTTAAATTAAATCATAACCTAAATCAGGTCTGTCTCACGGTTGTTGGATGCATTGCTAAGAACAATCATGAGTTGTCCAACCACACCCCACTATTAGCTGCCTGGAGCAGTGATGTCATGGAGACGTGGGATTGCTTCAACACAATGAATCAAATGATCAACAATGAATCCACAAATGCAGGTGATAACGGCCACTTGACTATCTGCCACCAGACTGAATTTACATTTAGGTGGAGAGGGACAGGTAAGTGTTCTATTGAGGATCTTACATTTTTATTTTATTTTACATTTTTTAGTCATTTAGCAGACGCTCTTATCCAGAGCGACTTAGTGAGTGCATACATATTCATATTGTGTTTGTCAGTAAGCCTGCAATTCAATACAAATTTAAGTTGTCACGTGCACAAGTACAGTGAAATGCCTTTCTTGCTAGCTCTTTCCCAACAATGCAGTAATCAATCAGTAGTACTATAAGGTAAAGTAAAAACAAAAAACACATGAGAAATAGAAATAAGAACTCTAGAGAGTAACTATATACAGGGTCAGTTACAATGTTCAGGGATACTGGAGGGGTAGATGTGTATAGGGGTAAGGTGACTATATACAGGGTCAGTTACAATGCCATATTAACAATGTGCAGGGATACTGGAGTGATAGAGGTAGATATGTATAGGGGTCAGGTGACTAGGCATCAGGATATGATAAACAGAGTAGCAGCAGCTTGTACAGTGAGGGGAAAAAAAGTATTTGATCCCCTGCTGATTTTGTACGTTTGCCCACTGACAAAGACATGATCAGTCTATAATGTTAATGGTAGGTTTATTTGAACAGTGAGAGACAGAATAACAACAACAAAAATCCAGAAAAACACATGTCAAAAATGTTATAAATTGATTTGCATTTTAATGAGGGAAATAAGTATTTGACCCCTCTGCAAAACATGATTTAGCACTTGGTGGCAAAACCCTTGTTGGCAATCACAGAGGTCAGACGTTTCTTGTAGTTGGCCACCAGGTTTGCACACATCTCAGGAGGGATTTTGTCCCACTCCTCTTTGCAGATCTTCTCCAAGTCATTAAGGTTTCGAGGCTGACGTTTGGCAACTCGAACCTTCAGCTCCCTCCACAGATTTTCTATGGGCTAGGCCACTCCAGGACCTTAATGTGCTTCTTCTTGAGCCACTCCTTTGTTGCCTTGGCCTTGTGTTTTGGGTCATTGTCATGTTGGAATACCCATCTTCGACCCATTTTCAATGCCCTGGCTGAGGGAAGGAGGTTCTCACCCAAGATTTGACGGTGCATGGCCCCGTCCATCTTCCCTTTGATGTGATGAAGTTGTCCTGTCCCCTTAGCAGAAAAACACCCCCAAAGCATAATGTTTCCACCTCCATGTTTGACGGTGGGGATGGTGTTCTTGGGGTCATAGGCAGCATTCCTCCTCCTCCAAACACGGCATGTTGAGTTGATGCCAAAGAGCTCGATTTTGGTCTCATCTGACCACAACACTTTCACCCAGTTCTCCTCTGAATCATTCAGATTTTCATTGGCAAACTTCAGACGGGCCTGTATATGTGCTTTCTTGAGCAGGGGGACCTTGCGGGCGCTGCAGGATTTCAGTCCTTCACGGCGTAGTGTGTTACCAATTGTTTTCTTGGTGACTATGGTCCCAGCTGCCTTGAGATCATTGACAAGATCCTCCCGTGTAGTTCTGAGCTGATTCCTCACCGTTCTCATGATCTTCGCAACTCCACGAGGTGAGATCTTGCATGGAGCCCCAGGCCGAGGGAGATTGACAGTTCTTTTGTGTTTCTTCCATTGGCGAATAATCGCACCAACTGTTGTCACCTTCTCACCAAGCTGCTTGGCGATGGTTTTGTAGCCCATTCCAGCCTTGTGTAGGTCTACAATCTTGTCCCTGACATCCTTGGAGAGCTCTTTGGTCTTGGCCATGGTGGAGAGTTTGGAATCTGATTGATTGATTGCTTCTGTGGATAGGTGTCTTTTATACAGGTAAAAAACTGAGATTAGGAGCACTCCCTTTAAGAGAGTGTGCTCCTAATCTCAGCTCGTTACCTGTATAAAAGACACCTGGGAGCCAGAAATCTTTCTGATTGAGAGGGGGTCAAATACTTATTTCCCTCATTAAAATGCAAATCAATTTATAACATTTTTTACATGCGTTTTTCTGGATTTTTGTTGTTGTTATTCTGTCTCTCACTGTTCAAATAAACCTTCCATTAAAATTATAGACTGATCATTTCTTTGTCAGTGGGCAAACGTACGTTTTCCCCCTCACTGTATGTGAGTGAGTGTGTGTGTAGAGTCAGTATGAATGTGTGTGTGTTGGAGTGTCAGTATGAATGTGTGTGTGTTGGAGTGTCAGTGTGTGAGTGAGTAGAGTACTGGGAGTGTGCATAAAATCAGTTTAAAAAAAAATACAAGGGTCAATGCAGACAGTCCGTGTAGCCATTTTGTTAGCTATTTAGCAGTCTTATAGCTTGGGGATAGAAGCGGTTCAGGAGCCTGTTGCTCCAGTACCGCTTGCTGTGCGGATACCGAGAGAACAGTCTATGACTTGGGTGATTGGAGTGTAACAATTTTCCAGGCCCCAGTGATGTACTGGGCTGTCCACACCACCCCCTGCAGCGCTATGTGATCGAGGGCGGTGCTATGGCCATACCAGGCGGTGATGCAGCCAGTCAATATGCTCTCAATGGTGCAGCTGTAGAACTTTGAGGATTTGAGGGCCTCATGCCAAATCTTTTCAACCTCATTTTCAACCTCCTGAACCTTCTTCACAACTGTGTGTGTGGACCATTTTTAAGTCTTTAGTGATTTGGACACCGAGGAACTTAACTCTCGACCCTCTCAACTGCAGCCCCGTTGATGTAGATGGGGGTGTGCTTGTCCCCCCCCCCCCCCTTTCCTGTCGTCCACGATCAGCTCCTTTGTCTTACTGACGTTGAGGGAGAGGTTGTTGTCCAGGCACCACACTGCCAGGTCTCTGACCTCCTCCCTGTAGGCTGTCTCATCGTCACCGGTGATCAGGCCTACCACCGTCGTCTTGTCAGCAGTCGTAGATGGCCACGCAGTCGTGGGTGAACAGGGAGTACAAGAGGGGACTAAGCACACACCCCTGTGGGGCCCCCGTGTTGAGGGTCAGCGTGGCGGAGGTGATGTTGCCTACCCTCCTCACCACCTGGGGTCGGCCCGTCAGGAAGTCCAGGTATCCAGTTGCAGAGGGAGGTGTTCGCTTGGAGGGCACTATTGTGTGTTCACTATGAAGTGTTCAGTCCAAGGGTCCCCGGCTTGGTGACGATGGCAGTGTGGAGTGCAATTGACATTGGATCTGTTGGGGCGGTATGCAAACCGGAGTGGGTCTACGGTGGAGATGAATGAGTTGACGTGTGACATGACCAGCCTTTCAAAATCACTTCATGATTTACTGATGAGTGCTACAGGGCGGTAGGCATTGTGGCAGGTAGCTTTAGAGTTGTTGGGAACAGGAATGATGGAGGTCAGCTTGAGACGTGGGGATTACAGACAGACTGGGGACAAGGAGAGGTTAAATCATTTGTGAATATGCCCTGCCAGCTGTTCTGCGCATGCTCTGAGAACGTAGCCTGGAATACCGTCCGGCCCCGCGGCTTTGAGTGGTGACCTCATGTTGGCCTCGGAGAGCGAGATCGCCCAGTCAGTTGGGTTGGTGGGGGCCCTTAAACACAGCGCCGTGCATTTTGACGAAGCATGCACAAACTGCATTGAGTTTGTCTGGTAGAGAGGCATCGTTGGGCAGATCACGGCTGGGTCTTCCTTTGTAATCCGTAACGGACTGTAGCCCCTGCCACATACGGCAGAGCTAATAATAATAATAATAATGAAGATTCCATCCTTGTTCCTATGTTGTCCGTTTGACTCTGCGGAGGTCGTAGCAGGACTTCTTGTAGTTGTTCCTGTCCTCATCCGTAGCCTCGGAATTGGCTGCGATAGCCCTGTGTGCGATAGCCACGTCCTTTAGCTTAGCGCCGACAAGGTTTCTGCAGCGTGTGCACTCACTGGCGCCCACACAAACACGCGTCTTCTGTATAGCATAATATGTCAGTAAGCCTAGAATTCAATAGATAATCACCATAGCAACATTGTCTTTGTTTACAGACTACTTCCTACACACTTTCTTTTTGTGATCTGTTGTTTCGCAAAAGACATTGAACAAAGACAACCCAGTACATTTTGAACACTTTCTCTTAAAACTGGAAACGTGAGGGTAGTCTACCTGAAGGCTTCTGGTTTTACAGTACCCAAAACACGCAGTTTTTTTATTATTATTCAATAACTAAATAATGCAATGCAAATTCAATTGAATTGAGCCGATGTAAAACACAACTATTACAATCGCATTCCTTCCTGTTTTTAAGAAAGACTGCACCACCGTGTGAATAAAAACAGACTAGTCCTGGAACGAAAAACCTCAACTGAAAGGGCTTTTTAGTCCTGGACTAGGCTTTAGTCTGTGTCTGAGAAATCCCCCCCCCACCCCCCGTATGTAAAAAATAAAAAAATATCATCACCTTGTCAACATTGGCCCGAGTCTTGGCGGAGGTCTCCACGTAGCTGACGCCCCACTGCTCGGCCCGGGCCTTGGCCTCCTCGCCGCTCACCTGCCTCCGCTCCTCCAGGTCTGACTTATTACCCACCAGGAGGAAGGGAACATTCTCATCCTCCTTCACTCGCAGGATCTGTTCTCTGGAGAGAGGAGAGAGGGAGGTCATGTCATCCTATAGATTTCTGGAGAGAGGGAGGTCATGTCATCCTATAGATCTCTGGAGAGGAGAGAGGGAGGTCATGTCATCCTATAGATCTCTGGAGAGGAGAGAGGGAGGTCATGTCATCCTATAGATCTCTGGAGAGAGGGAGGTCATGTCATCCTATAGATCTCTGGAGAGGAGAGAGGGAGGTCATGTCATCCTATAGATCTCTGGAGAGGAGAGAGGGAGGTCATGTCATCCTATAGATCTCTGGAGAGGAGAGAGGGAGGTCATGTCATCCTATAGATCTCTGGAGAGAGGGAGGTCATGTCATCCTATAGATCTCTGGAGAGGAGAGAGGGAGGTCATGTCTTCCTATAGATCTCTGGAGAGGAGAGAGGGAGGTCATGTCATCCTATAGATCTCTGGAGAGGAGAGAGGGAGGTCATGTCTTCCTATAGATCTCTGGAGAGGAGAGAGGGAGGTCATGTCATCCTATAGATCTCTGGAGAGGAGAGAGGGAGGTCATGTCATCCTATAGATCTCTGGAGAGGAGAGAGGGAGGTCATGTCATCCTATAGATCTCTGGAGAGAGGGAGGTCATGTCATCCTATAGATCTCTGGAGAGGAGAGAGGGAGGTCATGTCATCCTATAGATCTCTGGAGAGGAGAGAGGGAGGTCATGTCATCCTATAGATCTCTGGAGAGGAGAGAGGGAGGTCATGTCATCCTATAGATCTCTGGAGAGAGGGAGGTCATGTCATCCTATAGATCTCTGGAGAGGAGAGAGGGAGGTCATGTCATCCTATAGATCTCTGGAGAGGAGAGAGGGAGGTCATGTCATCCTATAGATCTCTGGAGAGGAGAGAGGGAGGTCATGTCATCCTATAGATCTCTGGAGAGAGGGAGGTCATGTCATCCTATAGATCTCTGGAGAGGAGAGAGGGAGGTCATGTCATCCTCTAGATCTCTGGAGAGGAGAGAGGGAGGTCATGTCTTCCTATAGATCTCTGGAGAGGAGAGAGGGAGGTCATGTCTTCCTATAGATCTCTGGAGAGGAGAGAGGGAGGTCATGTCTTCCTATAGATCTCTGGAGAGAGGATGGAATGAATTCCTGAACTGACCCCAAACCTGGTCTCTCCTTTTCACTTCAAAGGCCGCTCTTATTACCTGAAGTCAGCGGTGGCGGCGAACGACTCGGCCTCGGTGATGGAGAAGACGCAGAGGAAGCCCTCACCGCTGCGGAAGTAGTTGTCTCGGATGGCGGCGTAGTCCTCCTGGCCCGCTGTGTCCAGGATGTCGATCTGCACCTCCTCTCCGTCCAGCACCACCTTCTTCCTGTAGCTGTCTGCCTTGGTGGGCTCGTAGTCCTCCACAAACTGATGGGAGGGAGAGAAGTAGGAGGAAGAAGTTTCTTTATAAGACGAGGTTACATTATATAATAAAATGTTTGAAGATTAAACCACAGTGTCATTTTGGCCTAAGCAGACCATCACCTGACAGAATTGAGGAAGAGAGAAGTCCTTTTGAGAGTGGACAATTGGGGACCTTAGTGGGGAGTGGCACTCTGCCCAGACAGGTCAACAGTTAGTTATAGGTTATTGACGTGCTACCAAGTTTCCACTGCATTGATATCAGTGACCAGGAGTGTCCATTTTCAGGACATGTTGGTCCTGTTAGAATATTCTTAAAAAGCATCCTTCCTTCCTTGAAGTAATCACTGATCTGACTGGCTCGGTGTATGCAAGCTTTTCCACTGCATTGATTTCATTTTTTACATTTTTAATAATTTAGCAGACGCTCTTATCCAGAGCGACTTACAGGAGCAATTAGGGTTAAGTGCCTTGCTCAAGGGCACATCGACAGATTTTTCACCTAGTCGGCTCGGGGATTAGAACCAGCGACCTTTCGGTTACTGGCACAACGCTCTTAACCACTAAGCTACCTGCCGCTTTCACTGGTTATGTCGTGTCAGAACAGTGATTACGTCAAGGAAGGAAGAAAACATTTTGAAGAGTATTCGAACAGGCCACCGATGAGTGGAGAGCAGGAACGATGATGGGGTTTGACACGCGTCAACGTCTCACCTCGTCGTACATGAACTGTAGGGTGAGGGCTGACTTGCCCACTCCTCCGCTCCCCACCATGATCACCTTGTGGAGGGCCAGAGAGTTCTGCCCCTTGGGCTTGTTGGCTGTCATGACCGCTCACTCACAGGAAGAAGGAAAAGAAAGGGGGGGGGGCGAGAGAGAAAGGGGGAGACGTGACGTTTGAAAGTCAGAGAATCAGGAGAGGGAGGTAAAGTCCCAGCATTAAGGGCGATCCGACAGTCCCTGTGAATACAAAAACAAAAAAAAAGAATTGTTTAAAAAAAATCACTGTTCATAGTAGCAGTCTAGTGATAAAATCTCATGCTTTGAAAAACGTTCCATCTCGCAAAAAAATAAAAAAATAATCTCCAGACATACAGTAGGCCAATGTTGCCATGGATAATTTAGATTACCTGCACTTTGAAATACAGTAAATTCAATTCCCCCAGCGTTTCATTCATGTCCACCTTGCATTTTATGATGCTCCTCTACAATGACGTAGCATTAAAGTCACATGACCAGCTGGTGGTGGCTCAGTTCAGGGTAGGAAAAATAAAAGTGATTGTCTTGTGACGTCTAGGCCTACTTGTAACAAACTAAAAGGACGATAAGTCATATTTCAGTTGAGGACCTGTCATAAAAAGATGTAAAAAGAAGCTAGTGGTTATTTAGCCATTTACAAAAGCAAGCAGATATTCATAGAAATCAGCTGCAAGGTCCTCATTCTCAGACACCAGTCGATGCATCCGAGGCCAAACCAGTTCTCCTAGCCATTGGTGATAGGCTAAAAGGGATGGCATTGTTTTATGCAGTTGGTTTGTTTATGCAAACACTGTTTTAGTGCTACATCAGAACACAATCAGTCTTTTCTAAAGCCAGAGAGTGGGAGGGAGGGAGAGGGCAAAACCCCTTTCAGTCTCAGCAGCTGGCCATTCCTCATCGAATTTCACATCAGTCCGAAGAGTAGTTTTTTAGGGGGGGATTTCAACAAGAAAATCCTTTAGCTATTTCAGTGTTTACTGTCCTTTTTGAACATATACAGGCCCTAGGCCATTGGTTTTGCCTCGGACCCAAATTGAACCAGGTTGTCTGTCGCGATCTGGAAAAATATTTGTAACGCTATATTGATAGTAAATGTTCCAAATATATGACAAGGGAACAACAGTCACACCTTTTTTCCATTGCCAATAATTCCATTTTGCCCATAATCTTGATGAAGAATGTTAAGCTCACTGGTTTGAGACCACAAAATCCAAAATCTGCCAAATAGTGCTGCTAATATCTATTGAAAATACTGTGATAAGAAAAAGTTTCCATGGTAAAATAATTTTAAAAATATAGGTTCATTATTTCTACACAACCTACCTGGGTTTTAGTCGTTTAGGGTCAGACTGGAGTATTTTTATTTTATAACATCACTACTAGCTACAGTGGTTAGCTTAGCTAGCTCGGAGGAAGTATTTACTGTTGTGTGGATAGCTAGCTACCATCCCATAGCCTGCATATGAAGTGTGACTGTCTCATGACATTTAACCGTGGATGTATGGAGAAAATAACCTTTTTTTGTTTGTTTGTTTTTTGTTCTTGTCAACCCTGTTGGCTCCCACATGTGGGGGTTCATGCTCTCTGATTGGCGCAAAATCAAGTTGTTGGCCAATGACGCACAACCGGTAGGTTCGTCGCCACCGGGGTCAACACGCAGCAGGTACCGCTTCTGTTCTAGCAAGAGAAGGAACGGCCTCCCCGCTGCGATAAGCACCCATCGGCGATGAGATTCTCGGTGTGTTTCATGCGGCGCCTTCTAATAATGCAGCACAAGCGATTATAGGCTAATATAGTATAGCCTAGAATGGTACAGTGGGGAAAAAAAGTATTTAGTCAGCCACCAATTGTGCAAGTTCTCCCACTTAAAAAGATGAGAGAGGCCTGTAATTTTCATCATAGGTACACGTCAACTATGACAGACAAAATGAGAGAAAAAAAATCCAGAAAATCACATTGTAGGATTTTTTATGAATTTATTTGCAAATTATGGTGGAAAATAAGTATTTGGTCAATAACAAACGTTTCTCAATACTTTGTTATATACCCTTTGTTGGCAATGACACAGGTCAAACGTTTTCTGTAAGTCTTCACAAGGTTTTCACACACTGTTGCTGGTATTTTGGCCCATTCCTCCATGCAGATCTCCTCTAGAGCAGTGATGTTTTGGGGCTGTCGCTGAGCAACACAGACTTTCAACTCCCTCCAAAGATTTTCTATGGGGTTGAGATCTGGAGACTGGCTAGGCCACTCCAGGACCTTGAAATGCTTCTTACGAAGCCACTCCTTCGTTGCCCGGGCGGTGTGTTTGGGATCATTGTCATGCTGAAAGACCCAGCCACGTTTCATCATCAATGCCCTTGCTGATGGAAGGAGGTTTTCACTCAAAATCTCACGATACATGGCCCCATTCATTCTTTCCTTTACACGGATCAGTCGTCCTGGTCCCTTTGCAGAAAAACAGCCCCAAAGCATGATGTTTCCACCCCCATGCATCACAGTAGGTATGGTGTTCTTTGGATGCAACTCAGCATTCTTTGTCCTCCAAACACGACGAGTTGAGTTTACCAAAAAGTTCTATTTTGGTTTCATCTGACCATATGACATTCTCCCAATCCTCTTCTGGATCATCCACATGCACTCTAGCAAACTTCAGACGGGCCTGGACATGTACTGGCTTAAGCAGGGGGACACGTCTTGCACTGCAGGATTTGAGTCCCTGGCGGCGTAGTGTGTTACTGATGGTAGGCTTTGTTACTTTGGTCCCAGCTCTCTGCAGGTCATTCACTAGGTCCCCCCGTGCGGTTCTGGGATTTTTGCTCACCGTTCTTGTGATCATTTTGACCCCACGGGGTGAGATCTTGCGTGGAGCCCCATATCGAGGGAGATTATCAGTGGTCTTGTATGTCTTCCATTTCCTAATAATTGCTCCCACAGTTGATTTCTTCAAACCAAGCTGCTTACCTATTGCAGATTCAGTCTTCCCAGCCTGGTGCAGGTCTACAATTTTGTTTCTGGTGTCCTTTGACAGCTCTTTGGTCTTGGCCATAGTGGAGTTTGGAGTGTGACTGTTTGAGGTTGTGGACAGGTGTCTTTTATACTGATAACAAGTTAAAACAGGTGCCATTAATACAGGTAACGAGTGGAGGACAGAGGAGCCTCTTAAAGAAGAAGTTACAGGTCTGTGAGAGCCAGAAATCTTGCTTGTTTGTAGGTGACCAAATACTTATTTTCCACCATAATTTGCAAATAAATTCATTAAAAATCCTACAATGTGATTTTCTGGATTATTTTTTCTCATTTTGTCTGTCATAGTTGACGTGTACCTATGATGAAAATTACAGGCCTCTCTCATCTTTTTAAGTGGGAGAACTTGCACAATTGGTGGCTGACTAAATACTTTTTTTCCCCACTGTATATAGTAGCCTGTAGTGTGAGGGCACTGTTGAGGGCAGCATACCATGAAAGGGTGGTTCAGCCTAGGTCCTCACAGACAGAGAGGGGACTGGCAGAACAGATGCGATGACATCACTCATGTGGGTGACGGATCAGTGTTCAGAGGCGTCGCTCATCTCTCACATTTAGGACAAAGGCCTATGTTAGAATCTACAGTACAAGAAAAGTATGACATTCCATGGGCCATCACATCATCTAGGCCTAGGCTGTTTCTGGTGGTGGGCTAATGGCCAATTTGATCAACACATGCCTTGAATAATCCTAGTCAATACAATAAAGAATCTACCAAAAAAAAGACTTAAGCATACTGATATCGGTTGCTCAGTCACCTCAACCGAGGCCTAGCTGTCTTCAAATCCGCACTAGGCAGAAATCGTTCCGCCATTCCCTGGTTGCTAAAATTCTAATAGTATACCTAATTTCAGTTGATGTGACAAAACAAGCAAGTACAGTGTAGAGAATCATTGTTTCCATAACCAAACATATTGTATTTTCAACTGTACAAAACCGAAAGACATGAAACCAAAACTTAAGAACGGGCGCCCATAGAACAGATCTACCGCTTCTTAGACTTGCTTTTCAATGCGAATGACAGATCTATAACTGACATGTCTTTGTGAATTTGGACAGGTCTCCCAAACAGTTACATATTGCAGCTTTAAACAATTGGCCAAAAGGCCCTACTGGGTCATGTTCTGTACGAAACGGCAGAAAGGGCTCCGAAACTGGAAAGTATTGGCCCATCTGTACATGTCCAATTACAAAACAACTCATTTTTCTGTTGCAAGAAAAGTTTTGCCTAAATGAAATGACCCTGAACATTGTTACAAAAACAAAATGTTTAAAAAAAAAAAGGCCATTTGGCCAACTGTAAAACTAGAGGTAGGCCTATTTCTTGAACTGGACCGAGTGGAACTAGGGTGTCATCACTCGCTCTAACATCACAGCGTCATCGATGGAATTCCAGCACCTCCCTGAGTTTTTAAAGCTGGCCCTCGAAATGTGCGAGGGAGTGCCGCAATATTGGCAATGCATGCCACATCGGTCTGCCCTTTTTTTTAGGCTGTTTTCTCTTCATTTGATTAGCTATAGACAGTGACGTCATCTGATTACCATGTTCGTATAGACATTGATCTATACAGCAGCGATGGAATGGAGGACAGGATCTGGAGGTAGCTCCCACCATAGAATAGCAATAGTTGAATCAGGAGTTGGAATCTAGCAAATATGTGGAAACGCAGGGGGGGGGGGGGGGTAAACAGGGGTGTCCCAAGGACCAGTTTGGGAGGAGGAAGAAGTATTCTTAACTTGCCTAGCTATCTGCTGGAAAAATCAGAGCCCACTTTATCAGCTTCATTCATCAGCCATTTTAAAAGTTGTCCATACACACTGATCCTTAGTCAGTTTAGCATTCCCCCACTAAGGGTTAAGATAACTGGGGAAGCTGATACTAGATCTGCACCTAGTTGAAACTTTTTTTTTTTTCATTTAGCAGACGCTCTTATCCAGAGCGACTTACAGGAGCAATTAGGGTTAAGTGCCTTGCTCAAGGGCACATCGACAGATTTTTCACCTAGTTGGCTCGGGGATTAGAACCAGCGACCTTTCGGTTA